CTTGACCCTGCAGCTAGAGCTACGCTTAAGGACTCCCTATGTTACGGAGACAGTGAATTACCATTTTCTGCGAAAGATGTGGCAGTTACAACCATAGGAGAAAAAATTGTCGAGGCAATATTAAATGCTGCTATTGCTCTGAAAAGCATTATCACTTTTATTGCACTCATAAAAAAGACTCGTTCAAATGGAGATGCTCGGCCTGTGATTGCTTTGGACATTCTGCCTTCTTCTTTAATTGCACATCATACCAATCAAAGTTAATTGGACAATTACGCAAAACTGATTATGATTATAAAACTATTATAATAGATAAAAGAAGAACCAACTAACTTGAAACAGCTTAGAATTGAAACAAATTTATCTGAAATGACTCGTTTGAAACAACTTGCAACATTATATAAATGCCTTGTACCCTCAACCTTGTACTCTCATTTCAAAATAGTTTATCATTCATCACGTATCTCCAAATTTCGTCTCCTCTGATTCCCTTTTTTACCTGCGTTTTACCTCTTTTACTCCATCTCCACTTCCATCTATTAAACGTTACACTTCTTTCATTACCAAATTTTACCCATTCTCTCTGTTTATTCTCTTTTACTGTCGTTTCCCTCTTCTCTTAGTCCAAGCGGCCTGAAAAGAATTAAGATGTCAACCAGCAGGAAGAGGACCAAAAAAGTTATGGACAATATGGAGACAAATGATAATCTTGTGAATGAAAACGAAATCGACCTAGACACGATACTCACATTCTTTGATGAGATTGGTGACGACACTCAAGAACAAATTCGCAATCTGTTAACTTTTGACGAAATCAAAAAATATACAGAAATCCTAAAGGATAATGATCAACCCTCTCTGGAAAACAAAGTCAAAAAAGCCCTACTGTTACTCGAGGAACCTCTCAAACGCAAATCCAGCAAAAGAATCAACTCTGCGACCACCCTCATTGAGGAAATCATAGCCAAGAAAGATCTTTTTGAATGGGAAACTCCAGACAATTGGCTCAAGGTGGATAATTTTGAACTCTGCCCTCTAATTCTGATCAACACATACACCGATGAACAATTGGACACTGGAATTCTCTCAAAGATAAAAATACAAAATCTATTATCCAAAAGTGAAGGAAAAATGCGCAATATTTGAGGCCTTGAAGCTGGTAAATCTTGCTGTAAACTTCTGGTTGAAAACAACAAAGAAAAAGAAATTATCGATCTTATCAACTCCAGCATTGATGAGAACCTCAAAGTTAAGATCAAAACTCCGGAACTACGGACACCAATGATCCAAATGGACATTTTTAACCTAAACGTCAACCTAGAATCCTCAAACGAAGCGAATGTCTGGCTTCAGAAGTTAATGAAATGGAATGGAATACCAGAAGAGAGTAATATCAAATTAATACACTATGAGCAGAAAAGATCTTGGACTCGGATGATTATAGAAATAAACTCCAAGATCAGAAGTCAAATTGGATCAAAAAAGAATAGAGGCGAGCTTAGTATTGGCTATCAAAGAATTAACTTCTATGACTATCTCAGGTTTGTACTTTGCTACAATTGCAATAGATACGGTCACAAATCTAACTCTTTCAAATCAATCATTTCGTGTGGTTTCTGCTCTAGGCCACACAAAACACTCGAGTGTGAAGATAAAAGAAACCTCAACAGATATCTGTGTCCCTCCTGTGGAAGTAAAGGCGAACATCCAGTGGGTGATAACAAATGTCCAAGCCTAATAAAACAGATTAAATTTGCCTTAGTAAAGATTAATCATCAATATGACTACGTCATTCTGAAAAAAGAGAACATGAATAATTAAGAAACAAGGTTAATCGCTCACAATCTAATTCATCATCAATCTTTAGCATCTTGATCCTCACGTGAGGGAGCCACTTTATTTTTTTATAATCTTTCTTTGTTTTCCTTTTTGTTCATAATCAATTGATCACCTCTTCTATATCTCTCTCGTGATTATCACTGTCTCTTACTCCTATTCTTTTTTACCTTTCTCTAAACTTCATAAATTCAACTCATAACCATCAACTATGAATCGTCTAATGACCCACTTTAATCCCAACACAGTTACATCCACTGAAAAAGGAAAAATCATCAAAAACAATCTGAAAGAAGATGAAAAAGTTATAAGCTTTATTCATGACAACAACAAAACCACTGTCTACTTCTTCCTATCATCTGACCTGCCCTTCAATCGTGAAGAAATTGCCACCGTTTTAAGAATGTGCAACCCCAAACTTCAAAGTCACATCAGAAAGATCAGTACCTCAAGTGATGGCATCATAAGGAAAGTGTCCTTTTCAATTCCAATAGATGTGAGAAATCTAATGGTTAAGAAGTCGTTTACTGTGAGATTTCATCTCAAAGGATATCAACTCTTCGATGAAATTGGATTCGATTTTGAAAAAATCAAAAAAGAATATGAAATGGGTACACTGGCCAACCTCACACGACACTTTAAGCTCTTTTCTGGCTATACAAACAAATTGATCATTCACGCGAAAAATGAGGTCAATAAAGCGGATTGGTTCAAAATGGAGGAGATTGGCAATCACAACATTTGTCAGTTTAGAATCAGCATTGAAATTTGAAAATCGCGCTTAAATTTTTAATAGAGGGCGCAGGAAACTGATTTCCACTTCCTCTGTCATTGAAGAACAATTTGAACTCGTTCTCCTCATGCTTTCTATTCCATATGTGCTGATTTGAATCACCTGATATCTTTGGTTCTTCATCATCTTCTATGTTATCCATCTAAACATCCTCACTTAGTCTTCCTCAAATATTCCTTTTGCCCAATCATATTACAACAACTCAGTTACACTAATCTAATTAATCTATTATCCTGAGCCTCCTTATATCTAATCTACACTATCAATTTGAATCTAAATACCATAATTTCCTTTTCTTCTCTTTTCTTTTTTTCTTTTTACTACTCTCTCTTTCCCTCCTCTATTATACAACAAATCTGAAATGTCAATAGGAACTGTCAATGGCAAATGGGGACAAAGGAACTTCTGTCTAGTTGACTTCCCGCCTGTCATTGAAATACTTGTGAGATGTGGAGATTTGAACAACAAGCTAGAATTTCTAGCCAACTTTAGATCTGACAACTCGTTAAGACTCTATGTCAACGGAGAAGTCAAGATCAAGGATAGAGATATTAAATTTCTTACATTGGTACACGTCAGTGATAAATTCATTACAACGATAAAGACCAAGCCCTGGTGGAACGAAAACATGATGAGGATTAAGAAAAATTATAAATATTCTAAAGCTTATCTAATATATCACAAACTTGATATCGTTTCGATCAAGGACAATGAAGACTTCCTCAAGAAATCAAGCGTTGACATGGGGCCTTTTAAAATCTTCTCAGTCATCAAGTTAATGGACGGATTCATCAGAGTCTCTTTTGGAATGGCTGATGATACTATCCTATCTGATTGCAATTGGAATATAACTATTGATGATATAAATTACAAAATTGCAGATGATTTAAAATTCGAACAGTGCCCGAAGTGTATTCTTTTCTACAAGACTTCGAAACATCACCAATGTTCAATCAACTCTATCTTGTGATCTAATTGCGGGAAAAGCTCGAAACAAGTAGAACGAGAGCACAATAGATGCTACAGAGAAAAACATTGTCACGTGTGAACAAAAACAAAAACATGTGAAATCATCAATTTCAGATCTCATCATTCGATTAATCAACTAACGATTTGTGAATATTTCGAAAAGCATCTCATCAAAGGAATAAAGAACTCACCCTTTAATCCTGATATTCCTGTTAAACTACCAACGTTCGCACCTGTTACCAATTAAGCCAAAGGAAGCAACATATTCACTGACATCTAACGACTTCCAATCTTCCTGATCTCGCCTATTACTGAACAATTGTCAGCAATCTCAATTAATGTTGTGATAACAACCAACAACAATATTTACAAAATTCCATTTCCAAGAAAAATTCACTTACTCGATTAACAGATATAATCAGCTCATATTTCCCAAACATATAAACATCTCAAACAAATTCAATTACTTTTTACGATTACTCTTCTCAACTTGTTTACTTTGTACTCATTTATTACGCTTACTCTCTCACTTACTCTCTTCTTCCTTTCTTTTCATCTCGCTACTCAAATTACCCAATAAACTGAAAATTTCACTTAAACTGAACTCTCTCACTCTTCCCTTTCTTTTCCTCTTTTCTTTTCATTATTCTCTCCTCTTTATTACTCTTCCTTCTTCCTTCTTCCTTTTTTTTCTTTTCTTCAAAAACAAAAACAAAACATTAGCACTTAAATATGAAAGTTCGGAAATACTCATTAACAACAAGATCAAGGGTCAAATCGATGTTACTTGCAACTTTTTACAAAAAATAGAAAAAGAAAATATAAACGATAAATCTAGTAGCAACTAAGTTAGATTAGTTAGACAAAATTCATTTCAAACTTAATCTCTCAACTAACTATATTAACCTGTGTCAACAATATATCATTGTGACTCCTTTTTTTCTATTAATCTTGTTGCATCTTTGTTCCATGATGAATGAATGTGATTCAACTGTCTCATGTGTTAATAACAATCAGAGTATAATTGTTATGGAAATTAACAAAGGAGTTACAATTGTCGCAAACCATAATCGATTACAATTTTTCAATCCAATTATTGTGAGGGAACAGTTTCCACTATTACAACTTCTTGACCCGGTAGCCCCAGAAGGGGAAATAAGTGATGAAGCTTTACTTAAAGGTTTATTTTTTGACATGGAAGCGATGTCCGAATGCTTAGAAGACCTGGTGGAGATGGATTATCAAATCAGCATTCCCCACACTACGAAATATCTATTCGAGAATGTCAACAATATCGAAAAATTAACAGAAAAATTCCTTGAAACTGGGAAAAATCATTTTATAATCTTAAAAACAAATGTAGAAGAATACATGATATGGTTGCGAAAACACTTAAAAATAAAGGAACATGATCTCCTGAAAAATGAATTAAATGTAAAGATTACAACGATTGAGATCATGTAGTTATTATGACAAACCATAAACATCGGGTACCGGGACTCCCAATTGTACTCGCAAAAACAAGGTATTCGATCCTCTCCATAGCTGAAGAACAATGAATGAATAACTCAAGTGAAAACAGCGACATAATTCCAAAACGAATTCCTCCTCGTCCAAATGAAATTCACAAGTATAAATATACCATGGATTGACCACTATGATCTCAGCACCAAATGATTCGAGCAAAAAACGGGAATAATGGGGAAACAAGTATCCTGGTCCTCTCACACGCAAATGATAACGAGCACCCAAATAAAAATAAGAGAAACCATTCAAATCAAAGAAACAATCAAGAAATTGTAATCTATCTGAACGAAAAATAAAAAAAGTACTTAATAAAGGTAAATCACGCAAACAAGTCACTTTTGAATAAACCAATAACATTCTCTCTCTATTATTATTCATCTTTATCAAATCTTCTCTTTAATTCTTTATCGAAGAAAAGAAAGAAAAGAAAAGAAAGAAAGGAAGGAGAGAAAGGAAAGTTCTTGACTCTTAAGCATCAACACCCTCATCATTTACACTTATATAACTCTCTCTCAGTTTTGAGTGAGCGATTGCTCACTTAGAAAATCATAGATATACTCACATAAATAAAGAAACACATTCAGATCACATTACAGTGAACAATGCAACTTAATATAGTGTGTGTCAACTTCAGTCGGAAAAGTCACAACAACCGACTTCTTAGTCGACTTCAAGAAGAAGATCGCTTCATAATTGCCTCAGAGGATCGTGATCATGATGAACTTCCCAGAAAAATCTACGGCGATAATATAAGTCTAACCTTTCCGATCACCTGGAAATGTATTCGTGCGAATCGACCCAATCAAAGGATAATCGAAGCTGTAATGAAGAAGAAGAAAAACCTTTTTCAGTTAATTGCTGCCTACTGCTCTCCTGAGTACACTCAAACATTCAAAACCATCATAAAACCACTTGTGCACTTTCACCATTGTGTGAAAGAAAACAATCAGAACCTACCATTAGTGCTCGCTGGAGACTGGAACACTGAGAGTAATATTTGGACTAATGAACCCCGGAACAAGAACCAAATCACAAAAGATCTAATAAAACAAATGGAAGACACATTGAGAACCAAAGGTATCATCAGTCAATTACCTCTAGACAGAGCATCGGGAGTTACTAGAATTGGAAACAACAACAATTCAATGATCGACGTTTTGCTAACTAATCTTAAAGTGCTGGACAAGAAAATCACCTTTCACGATATTCCTGGTCTAGATCATAAACTCATTGACGCTAGACTCATAGTCAAAATTGGTCAAAGTAGATCATTTATCAGCAGTTTCCGAATTCCAATCTATAAAAACGAGCCGCTTGAAATAAACAAAGATCCGGAGATTATGGTGTGTGACCTCCTAAATGGCGGGCTGGCAGTCAATCATAGAGAAGAAAAAAGTGGCAACAAAAGAACGAGATATCTAAAAAAATTATTAGAGAAAAACAATGACGAGAAAGAAAAGATTAAAATCATGAATAGAATCAAAATCAGCAAACTTAAATCTAAAAACTTGAGAGTTTGGAATTTCACCAATGACAAATTGCATTCTCATCTGAAATCTTTAACCATGAATAATATTAAACACACTCCAATTGGTCAAAAAATGTTTCTATTCCCAAAAGCAAGAACAATGAACCAATTTAAACCAACACACTCAATTCGAACCCCACAGGGAATCACTCCAAGGGAAATCGAGATACTAGAAAAGATGAAATTCAAAAACTCGTCAGGATGGGCCAATCCCTTCACAATAACAAGATGGAACACATACTGGAATAGGAATAAGAAAAATATAATATTACTCATAGACACACTTTTTAAACTCACCTTTATACCCAATCACTTAATCATCAGCGGAGGAACTGACATCCCGAAATCAAATGGTCAAATGAGAACAATAAGAACCCAATCTTTTCCAAGTAAAATTATTGACACAATCCTATATGGTAGAATTAAGAAATGGGCTCTGAACAATATTGACTCGACCTTTCAATTTGCTTATCTTGAAAAGAACAGACATGATATGCTGGCCCAAATTTATGAAAACGCAAATGACTTCGAGACTATTATTGCCCTTGACATTGAGAAAGCCTTCGATAAGATCTCAAGGCTTGCGATTGAGGATAGAATCGAAGAAATGGAATGCAATTCAACCTGCAACATGATTAAACTGTTCATCAGACACAGGAAAATAAGGAAACACGTTAATGGTAATCTGGTGGTGGAAAATGATCCGGAAGGCCTACAAGGTTTTGCCACGGGACCTTTACTCTTTATCGTTGGGCTAGATAAATCACTCAAATGGCTTAACCGTAATCCAAACTCACAATTGGTCATGGCCTATGCAGATGATCTAATCATGCTGACTAATCACAAGGATAAGAGTCTGATAGAACTTAAAAATAAACTGTTAGACATCAACCTAAAAATTAATGAAACTAAAACTAGTATAATTAAACTCAACTCAAGAGAATCACCTGAATTTCTGGGTTTTCAACTCAGATTTAGAATACAAGAGACTAGCTTGATCAATGACATTGCAAATCATAACAAACTTAATATGCATCAACTCAAATTCATAAGAAAACTAAAACTATCTCAACAAAGAATCATGTACTCAAGCTACTTCTCGCATCTGATGGACTTTCTTGGATTAGCTCCATGGTTTGAAAACAACTTGTACAGCTATCGAATCGACTATCTCATCATACTAGGTAGGAAGTACCAGTAAGCTATGTAATCCCAAGTACAATAAGAATTGTTGGATGGAATTTATACACAATCTACCAAATCCTGCCCACAAGTATATAAGAGAAATCACAATGACACTGATAAGAAATGAAGCATCTAAGCAATTGTTTCCCGTTCTATCATGGATAGAAAAAGTTACTGGATGCAGACCTAGAATGGATCATCTAAAAATCAACCATGATTGCGCTGATGGTGAACTTGAAATAATAAGAGTAAGAAGAACCAATGACATATCCATCATATGTCTCAGGAGCAAAGAACAACATCAACACCTTAAACTGACTGAAACTCCAATATGCGTCTTTAACATCGAAAGAATGCTAATAAAATGGATAAAAGAACAAAACAAACTCATGAAAATCACCATCGGATGGAAAATGAACAAATTTAATACAAAAGAAATACTCACCTATAAGCACAAGATGAAAGAAAGTGAACTGGGGAAATGTGAAGAAATCATCACAACAATTGAATTGGGATACGACAAAACTACTCGACAAACAAAAGCTCTCATTGGAAAAGCCATTGAAAATAGAGAAAAATTCCTCTGAGAACAGAATCTCCGGACTCATGAAGAAAGTCTTTCTCAAGGGACACACAAAATACAAACACTGTAAATTCTATAAAACTGAACTAATGTGTGCCATTATGATTATTGACACTTACCTATACAAAGTTGATCACGACTGTAAAGTCGAAATGACGGTTAATCATCTATTCAAATGCAAGGATCTAGAAATTCATAAACAAAAAACACATCAAGGCAAATTAAATTGTCTCATTAAGCTAGCCGAATCAATAAAGCCATAAGTCAACTCGGCTCGTCTGAGACTTGTATAAGTCAACTCTCAATGTGAGAGCCTGCATAGCAGGGAGCCGCTGTTAAGTCAGCTCAACAAAAACAACAACAATGTAAGAAAAAATAAATATTTGGGATATAAAAAGTTTTTGGTTGATTCTTATTTCATGTATTTGAAAACAATTGTGGTTCCTTTATCATCATCATCAGCATCTCCGTCGCTTTCACCGTGGTGGTGGTCACTTTCATCGGAAATGTCCCCTTGGTCAATATTCTCATAGAATTTGATTGTTCTTTCAACTCTTCGAATAATGTTCACTTGTTTTTCTTTTTCGATTTGATTTTACTTAAGGCCAACGATTCATCGACTGACAATTCTTGTAACTGAATTTCCTCGGCCCATAAACTAAACCCGTGTCTTTGTATTTTCAACGATTTTTCAGCTCTGCTTTTGTTTAATTGATTTGTAGTCGTTTGCAAGACATTTGGCTTTATGTCCATCGAAACTGATTGACCTGTGGTTGATTCCAGAGTATTTGATTCGGAATCCTTGGTAATCTTCAGTAATTCTGGTGTTGTTAATTTGATTGTTTCCTTTTAAGTTCATCTTTACTTTTTTGGCATAAATTTGGTCACTTTGGATTTGGGTAATGTCTCATCAAGAGCTTGACTTAAGACTTGAGCATAAGGATCGACATTAGATTTTGTAACAATTCCGGAACCAGAGGCCTAGAAAATTGATTAATATTTTAATCCAGTGAGATTAACAAATTTCTAGAGCGATTCCTTACCATAGGATGTTGAAGATCAACCTTTTGGTTAAGGTTTAGCTTGGCAAGAATTGAGGTTGTCTGTTCAACGAGCTCCTTTGATTTCAGTTTTTCTAGAACTTTTTGTTGATAATCTTTGATTTTCTTTCCTTTATCCGGAAGAGAGTTGATGAATTTTCTGTTTCAAGATGAAAAATGAATCTTGTTTAATTCGGTATCAATCATTTGCTAGTGTACGAAATGAGTGACAACTAAACCAGTTATTTAGTTTTGTGAGTTTTACGATGACCATAAATGAATCACAAAATCTGTTTAATTGTCATCATCTCAATACAGTAGATACAAAAAGTATTAATTGAAATAAAACCTTACCCGTTACTCAAAAGCTTATCCTGTCTCTCCAAGATATCTTTGAGTTCAATTATTGACAATTTACTTAGATCACTTGTCTTTGTATCATTGAATGTTATCCCCGGTTTAGTTAAATATCCATACATTTTAACAGTAAATCAAACCACTTGAAAAGTAACAATCAAGTACATCAACAAATTATAAACCATAATGATGAAGTAACAACAAGCAAACATTTGAATCACATGTAACAACAAAAGAAACACTCACCTGTGGACAGAAATAGAAACCGCAATTTAAAAGATTGAAGAGGTTAAAGATGAAAATGACAATTAATTGCGAGTAAAACATTAAATTTTCACGAAAACAGGACAATTAAATTAAAAATTTAGAGGAAAATGAAAACAAAACAGTTAATGTCAATTTCCCAAAATTATTTAGCTTTTTGGAAGAGCGGGCGATTTGAAAGGGTTAAAATTAATCAATTCGATTGAAAATATCGACTGTTGTTTTTTAAGACGATCGGGAAGAGAATGAAAGATATTCTGCTTTCAATTTTAAATTTTTAGACTGAATCGATCGAATTTACTTTAGAATTGATTTAGAACAAAAATAAATATCTTAGGTAAGGGAATCGAGTGATTCAGATTAGAGAGATGAAGCTACGTTTGATGGACAATTTTAGGTAGGCAAGAAAAGAGACTTGTGATCTAAATGTAATTTTATTGTAAATGTTGATCAATTAACTTACAGAGATCATGATAATGATGCTTTTGCTAAAGATAATGAGAAAGTTTAGAAATTAGAATAAATAAAATATACATTGTGGCGCTTTTAGAAGAAGGAGATTGACAATAATTAGAGTTTCGAAGGAGAAGAAGAGATTATTAGGAAAGAAGCTTAGTTTTTGGCCCAATTGTCGTGTTTGTTTTGTTGTTTCCATGAATCTTTATTATTCCAAGAATCTTTGTTATTCCATGAATCGTGATTCTGTCCGTGGTATGGACCATGTTGGTATTGGTTTTGATATTGGTTTCGGTGTTGGTTGTAATTGTTGTATTGGTTTGGGTATTGGTTTCCATTGTTCCATGAGCCAACATGATGACGACCATCATGATTGTAACCATCATGGTGATTGTAATGGTTTCCTTGTTTCCTGAGATAATATTAGTGTAACTGTGACCAGAAGGATCAGCACCATTGTAAATGGCATCAGCAGAGTCGATTGAGTCAACAGATGGTTCGTTTGAGTCCAATTTAACTCGGAATCCACTTTTATCGGCAATATAGTTAACAGTTCGGTGACGACCATCGGCAAGTTTAAGTCCATATGAACCGTGGACATTACCCCAACCATCACCAGATTCTTGTCGGTAGTTGGATGATCCCCAAGGATCATTGATATCATAACCAAAATTGTATTTTCCACTCACATCTTGGTTTCGATAAATTTTACTCTGACCTCCGTCACCGTGATTTGTAGCACTAATTGTTGTAGAAATGGCAACAAGAGCAAAGAAAATAATAGCAACCAATTGATTCATTTTTGTAATAGAAAAGTTTTAAATGTTTTCGTTTAGTTGTTTTTGTTGTTGTTTTCGTTATTGGTTTGGACAGTTGAATGATAATTTCTCGAAACTTCTTTCGTTTTATATAGTAGACGAAAAGTGAAAATATCAATTTTAGAATATCTAAAATACTAATCGAGTGAGAATAAGGAACGAGTAGGACACAAAAAAAAACGGTAATTAAGATAAAATCGAGTAGAAAAGGCGGAAAAAGTTCATTTTGATAATTTTCTAATGCTTCGAAAACTTGTACCAAGCAACCAAGTTTCACTTCTACTGAATTTGTGCATAAACATTTGAGCCAAATAAAAATTAACTTTTTTCTAGTTAATTTGTTGATATTAACAATTTGAATAAAATAAAATTTCTTAATCAATTAGTTTTGTTTCAATTCTAATTTCAATTTGGCTCAAATGTTCATCTCCACCCTTGTGGATCCCATCCACTCCAGCTAAATTTATCAGAGTATAGTTGACAGAGTTAATTCAGATGAATTCTGGTCCTTTGACCCTTATTTAGCCCTTAACTTTTATTCACTTGACCAAATAAAAAAAATTCTTATTTCTGGCTTAAATTAATATTAATAGATGTTTAGAGCCTTTACCAACAAGATAATCGCACTAGCGGGATAATTATAAATATCAAAAATTAATAATTGTGATTCCTCAGCATAAATTGAACTTTCACGAAAACGATAAATTTTGATGTTGATTTTTGGCCATACGGGAAAAGAATTTGCTACCAAATCAACTCACTCTTACATTGAAAATTATCAAGATGAACTTTTTCCGCTTTTTCTACTCGATTTTATCTTAATTACCGTTTTTTTTTGTGTCCTACTCGTTCCTTATTCTCACTCGATTAGTATTTTAGATATTCTAAAATTGATATTTTCACTTTTCGTCTACTATATAAAACGAAAGAAGTTTCGAGAAATTATCATTCAACTGTCCAAACCAATAACGAAAACAACAACAAAAACAACTAAACGAAAACATTTAAAACTTTTCTATTACAAAAATGAATCAATTGGTTGCTATTATTTTCTTTGCTCTTGTTGCCATTTCTACAACAATTAGTGCTACAAATCACGGTGACGGAGGTCAGAGTAAAATTTATCGAAACCAAGATGTGAGTGGAAAATACAATTTTGGTTATGATATCAATGATCCGGGGATCATCCAACTACCGACAAGAATCTGGTGATGGTTGGGGTAATGTCCACGGTTCATATGGACTTAAACTTGCCGATGGTCGTCACCGAACTGTTAACTATATTGCCGATAAAAGTGGATTCCGAGTTAAATTGACTCAAACGAACCATCTGTTGACTCAATCGACTCTGCTGATGCCATTTACAATGGTGCTGATCCTTCTGGTCACAGTTACACTAATATTATCTCAGGAAACAAGGGAAACCATTACAATCACCATGATGGTTACAATCATGATGGTCGTCATCATGTTGGCTCATGGAACAATGGAAACCAATACCCAAACCAATACAACAATTACAACCAACACCGAAACCAATATCAAAACCAATACCAACATGGTCCATACCACGGACAGAATCACGATTCATGGAATAACAAAGATTCTTGGAATAATAAAGATTCATGGAAACAACAAAACAAACACGACAATTGGGCCAAAAACTAAGCTTCTTTCCTAATAATCTCTTCTTCTCCTTCGAAACTCTAATTATTGTCAATCTCCTTCTTCTAAAAGCGCCACAATGTATATTTTATTTATTCTAATTTCTAAACTTTCTCATTATCTTTAGCAAAAGCATCATTATCATGATCTCTGTAAGTTAATTGATCAACATTTACAATAAAATTACATTTAGATCACAAGTCTCTACAACTTTTCTGTTTCCATCAGTCCAAATCGATTCAAAGTTTCATTCATATTTACAAAATCTAAAAGACACAAAAGGTTCAAACGAGTTAAAGGTAATTCATTCAACGAAGATTTTCACATTTCTCCCAAGATGAAAAGAGAAGAAAGAATTGAATTGATTAATTAAGACTAAAAATAAAATTAACTAAAAGTAATCAAATTTAATCGAAATCGGCAAAAAATTGATTCGTTTTTAAAAGAAAAACTGAAGATGGAGGTTACATTAACCTTCGTTAGATGGAGTTTCTATCACACTTTTCTCTATTGATGTTTGATGAAAGTCTTTAGATTATCGGGTAACTACTTGGTTACTAGTAACTAAATTAACAAATAGACTTTTAATTGTGATTATTTTCTAATTTACATTCTAAATTATTACTATGTAAGTAGATGATGAACCGATTTAGAGTATTTCTATTCCTCCATTACAATTGAACATCTTGTTTTTCTCTAGGTCCGAATATTGGAAAGCTATTCCAAAGAAATTTTGTGAAGTCTGTAAATGTTGGTTTACTGATAAAGGTGTAAGTTTTTTCTTCTCTTGGTGATGTTTCTTTTCTCTTTAAATTGTTTCATTTAAATTTGTGAATCTTTTTTATTTTCGAATTTCCTTTTAATTGGATTGTGCGGTTCTTCTATTGTGACAGACTGGCGAATTTCACGAGAAAGGTCTTCGCCATCAAAATGCTGTTAAGAAAAGATTAACGGAGGTAATTTAATGTGTTACAATTTGTTTTTGTTTTTGTTTTTCCATCACTGATCTTGGTCATATGTTTGTGATATTTTGTTTGATTTTTTTTTCTCTCCTCATCTTTAATTTCTATGTGATGAATGAGTAGAGTTTTTTTTTCTTTCTCATTGTTCTAATGATGTATTTTTTTAATATATTCTTTTAGCTTTCTAAACGTAATCAAGTTCAAAAACATGAAGCTGATAAATTGAATGGCGAGAGGATGAAAATAGATTCTGCAACCATGAGTGCATTTAGTAAAGATAAAGCAGCTGATCCAAATAAAGTACAAGGATTAACATACACTAAATCCATTTCCAATACAAATAAATCTCAACGAGATAAACCAAGTACATCTTTAGGAAGCAATAGATTTGGGGTGATGTCCAGTTTAACACAGCCAGAGGAAAGTAAAACATTGATATCGGTCAGAGAAAAATGTTCTAACACGATGACAAGTAAAACAGCTAAACAAAAACCTCAACATTTGGACAATAATCCGTTAAATGAGGCCGGCGAAAAGAGTGACAATGAAACCGGTGATTCTGAGTTGGAACCTTTTAATGATCTCAAAAGAAAAATGATCCAAACTTATCTAGAATTAAAGGAAGAGGAGAATGAAGATGAAGAAACCAATACAAATGGATCTCCTTTGGAAAGGCGATTGATTGAAAGACTAGTGACCAAATTCAGTTTAAATTATTTAATTTTAAATCTATACCCAAACAATGAGGGTTATTCCATTGGAATGAAAAATTGTTTCAACAACAGTGAGAAAAATAATCTTTATAATAATATTAACAGTTCAAATGGTATTAGTCCTAAAAGCGGTGATAATAACAAAAAGACAACAAATAATAACATATTCAACAACAATAAGAAGGACGTTAATCATTCTGCCCATGATAAGAATTCTGCTGATCATAATCGTACCAAATGTAAAGAACCGATAGAAAGTGAAAAAAATGTTGACCCGACCTCTGAACCCGAATTCATAGAGACCATAAGATTACCTTACGAAGAGGAAGATTTGTTGGACTTTATTGACAATGGTGAACTTCCTCCAATGTTGGTTGATATCTTTGATGATTTCAATGAGAATAATGATCATCAGCTGTTTTATTGCGGCTCCATTTTCATGGAGGTTCGAGACTATCGGAAAACTACTTCATCATCAACTGCAAATGACCAAAATAAAAATTACGAATCTTGTTTTGTTCGCCTTAGGCCAACCAATCAAACGCTACTTAATGATATCGCTCGACTTACCTCATCTCTATCTCATCTAAAAAAATGGACTCAAGAAGAAAAGACAACATTGGAAGCTAAAATAATCCTCGAAACGGCTGAACCTCTTTGCCTTGACCCTAATCCCGTTGTCGCAATAGTTTCAAATAAATTGGATTATGAGAAAAGATGGTTTAAAGCATCAAAGAAAATAGAAAGGTAACCGATTCATTCACTTCTATCCAGTGTTCCCATTTTATTTCTCTTTCTCTCCTTTACTCATGGATTATCTCTTCTCTCTTCTGGTATTCTTTTCTCTTTTTTGACAGATCTACCAAAAAGAACTCACAAGTATATCGAAATAAGATTAAAAAGTTCGAAAGCCTACCTGCTCCTAGAGGATTAGAACTGTTCGATTTTCTTCAAAATCGGAAAGACCGAACTCCAATTACTACCAGATTGAATAAAAAGGTGTGCATCATCATCATTTACCTTTTCTCGGTGGATATTCTTGTGATGATTGTAATAGAATTCAGTAGATTATTGTCTCTACATCATCTTTCTGAATTGTTCAAAATTCTCTTCATCTTATCCATTCACCTTTGGTCAACGTTCAAAAAGGATAAATTTACTTTACTTTACCTTCTCTCTCTCTCTATCTACAGATAAATAATGTAAATGTGATGAATAATAATTGTACAATCGAACCAATTGACCCCAAACTGGTTGAGATTGAAAAGTTTGCCAAAAAACTCGAACCCGTTAACCTGAAATGTGATAATTCATTAGTAAGTTAATCATTTTTATTTACTTTTCTCTCTTGACACATGAATTAAATTTCTTTCATTTCTCTATAACAGATTAGATCTGATGAATATATTATGGAGTTTCTCAGTAATGAAGGTCGTTCCTCAGTCACATGTGTAGTAATTTATCATCGGCCCATAGATGATTGTTATTTTGGAAAATTGTTCCTCGATAAGAGAAAAGACAACAGCAATAGAACCGGAAATTCATCTACCTTCCATTTAGGCCATAAAGATATGGTCGATAAGTAAGTAGACAAAATCATTGTTCGTGTTATCATTTGTACTCAGTCATTCCGGTTAAGATAAACTGCTATCTAAATATATTTATCATTTTTTTTCCTGCTTTTCAAGATATATTGACCAATTCAAAGAGATATTAACTGAAAACGGTAGGAAACCTGTTAAAATTACTCATAAATCAACCAATCAACCTCCCAAAGTGACTTATACAAACTCTGCCATTCAAATTAACGGTCCAACTTTAAACGACACTGAAGATTCAGAGGGAAGGGAAAATGTCTCCAAAAAACCAAAGATTATCCAAACCAATCAAAAAAATGGTATCAAATTTAATCACTTAAAACATAATAGATTAACCCTTTTCAATTTGCTTCTAATTTGATATTTTCCTCTCACCTTTTCTCTAATCAGCTGTATCTGTGTTACGAAATCAACCTCGTAAATTGTCCTCATCTTTACTTTCAAGTAATTTATCAACCGCAACTACCACCACGCCAACATCAACACCTTCAACCTTAACACCATCAACTTCATCTTCATTGACACCATCACCCAACCAAATAACAAATTCAATACCATCAACAAGCACTTGCTCATCTTTAACAATTCCAATCAACGAATTTACTTCTCCTAACCAATCTGCAATCCAGGTTGATTCTAATTGTATTTCCAACCACAGGAACTTGGATCAAGGTAATAATAATAACTGTTGAAAATAAAAACTTACAATTATCCTTGGTAGATAGTGAAAATCATCAGAATTTTCATCTTCATCTCTCTTTAAAATTGTCTAACCAAAGATAATTGTAAGCTTCTATTTTCAACACCCTTTTAAATAGTTTCCATTGATTAAGAAAACCTTTCTCACCGCTTTCTAATTTTCTCAAGCTATTGCTTAATTAAAACAATCGACATTGATTAATAATATTATAACCATTTACTATTAATCTCGCCTCCCCCTTTGCTTTCTATTTTCTTCTATCATTCTCTCTCTCTCTCTCGCCAATTCTAACCAACTGAATTATAGTATTAATTAACAAGCAACTTAAGACAATTAAACCATCAGCCTCATTTATACCAATCGAATCAACAACTAATCTGCTTCAGTCCAAGACTATCATTCGCAATGCTGCGATTGCCGAGCGCCAAACAATTCCGACTCTTTTTCTTACTAGTGTACCTCAAGTCTATGGATCGACCAATTTACCGAGTACTTTAAATCTCTTTTTACCTTTTCTTGTTTTGATAATTCCAATTTATTTATCTGTTCAATTTATATTCTATTCCGTTTTATTTTCCATTTTGCTTACTTCGCATATTAACCCTTTTGTATTTTAAGTTATTGTTTATTCATTTTCTACATGTAATGTAATTTATTGTCAATTTTCCTAATTTTTTTCCTTTTTTTTCTCAATGATCTTTTCTCCTATTTAGATGATGGTAAATCTCAATCAGAGACTCTTGTTGTTGCTCCATCTCTACCTCTCGGAACTTATACCATAACTGGTACTAATCCTGGTACCAATACTAATCTTCCTCAAGGAATTAATCTCGCAAGTCTCAATCTGGCTCAATGTTCAAATTTGCGGCTTCATAATTTGGTTTCATTTCCAAACATTCAAGGAGTCTCTCAACAACAGATCGCAGTTCCAATCTCATTAACAATGATGCAAGGAAGTGGCTCTAGTCAAGCCCAAACGGCGATGACTGCAGCAGTTACAAATAATAATATTGTTAATCTGCAACAGCATCAAAAAATCAATCAACAGATAAATCACCAAATGAACCATCAAATTAATAATCAACCACAACAACTTCATACAATCCACCCTCAAGTTCAACATTCTCAACAACAACTTCAACCACATCCACAGACTCAAGCATATATTCATCCTCAACAAACACTTTCTCATCTGCATCAACAACAACAACAACAACAACAACTTCTACCCCAACCACCACAATCCCAACCACAACTACAGCAACAACTTCATCCTCATCAACGAGCCTTTCTCATTGACTATGATTCAAGAAAGCAGGTCTAGTCAAGCCTAAACTGCTACACATGGCTAAATGAGCTTGTTAGACAATTAACTGATATCAGTTTAAATAGTAGCCATAAGATTTAATTCCTTTAATTGTTTTCATGTAAATTACTTCGCCATGCAAAGTGTGCTTCATATTTGAACATCTCCATTTTCACCATCACCTCAACCTAAAGGTCAACTCAAAAAATAACTTTAGGTTGATGATTAGTTGAACTGTGAAAAAAATCATTGCCTTATTTGAATATAAAAAAACAAAACAAAATCTAATCAATCAAATTCTCAATTTTCTGCTGTTATAAACAAATTAAATGGTTCATTAACTAATGGACACTAATTATAACTCATCAAGTGGAGTTTCCGTTTCATTCATTGTTTGTACATGGTGATGAAAATACTAAGCAAAAACCTCAAAGATCTTTATGATTTTTTATATTATGTAATTTCTATTCGATTAATTAATTGATCAGTGTTCTTACAATTTAAAAGCAACTGTCAGTGTGATTTATTTATATCTAATAAATTAAGAAGAAAATTTTTTCAACATTCAATCATTGATGTTTTGATTCCAATGATGATCTTTAATTATTCACTCAGTCAAAATACATTTAGACTTGAACACAAGTATATACATTTAATTAACTTGTAAACACACAACTCTTTGAGACTAATGGAAGGTTAATTTAGAAGTGATTAGTTGATTATTACAATTAACATCGTTTTCACAGAGGAGAAAATCATTTCTATTCCAATGGAATCAATTTTTTTGCAACTGTCACGTTTTGTTGTTTGGCAATTTAAGACACATTGATTAGAGTGAGATAATTAAGGTAATTGTTATGGTGGAATGTGTCTAATTGTGATTAGAGATGGACAGGGAGAGTTGGTTTGTCCAACGGGCTTGAATCAAGCAGATTAGATTATTAATATTTAATTTGGGGGTTTGAGTTAATTGTTGATTTGATTTCACAGAAATGCACTCGGATCTGCACGTGGATTTTTCTGATTCCTGTAACGGATTGTTAACCAAACACCGAGAAATTCAGTGAAACTGAAAAATAGTCCGAGTGATCCCGTTATTTCAAGTCCATTGTTAATTGCGGTGACGATTTTGTATTTACAGGTTGTACAATGACAGTCAGTTTGTGATTTACAACATGATGTTATCTGAAAATGGAAAACAAGAGGATCGAAAATTAATTAGAAACAATCACAATTGTGGCAATTTCTTCAATCAATTTGTCTTTTAGTTTACAACCAAGCAATTAATTAACAAAGATAAGGAAAGTGTATAAGATGTCAATTGGTTTTGAAAAAGTGACTCGATTTTATCATTTGAGTCTCAAGAAGGTAAATTATGATGATTAAGATGATAGATTACAATCAAATTGATCATTAATTGTAAGACTCAAAGTTACTCATGAATAAAATAATCAAAGAGACGTAGTTTAATTCATAATGAAACTCAAATCAATGAATTTTGTAATCACTGAACTAGTTGATTCGCTAATTTTTTTTAAGACGAAATGAACCTTAATTCAGTCATTGAATAGTGAATATGATGTAAAGAAAAAGGGACTTACATGGAGACATTGATCAGGTAATGGAGATGAATCAAAACCACAGCAATTAAAAAACAATTGAGCCTCGTCTCGAGTTTGAACATTTGATGAATTCCAGCCTTTGGTGGCGATGTCAAGCTTTTGGGTGTCACTGATTGAGAGACAAGCGATGGCGATACAAAATTGAACCACGAACAGCAGGAACAGAATCACCATGTACTGAATGAGAGAGTAAATAATTGATCATCAGACAGAATTAAATGACTGGATGAAATTAAATTAGATAAACTTACGAAAAACAAGATAACTTGATGATGTTTAGCGGCACCAATCAAGCCCATGAGGGACAAAAGGGCCAAAAAGACACCACATCCTACGAAAACTTGAACAATTTCAATATTACCAACGATTGATGAATATCGAGCATAAGTCGCAACAGCAATTAACAAACATGAAACCAGCTAATAAGTTAATTAGTGATTAGTAAAAGCACAATAATTAGAAAATGGAAATCAATTGTAATTTAAAGTAAGAGAAACATATGGAAAGTTATTCCAATTGTTGATTATGTTTATGTGATTGTAGACCGAAAATGATGATTGTAAACATCATTGATCATTTTTGGTTCTAATTGTGATGGTTAATCAACTTACCGTGTACAGAATGTTCAATGCTGATAATGCATTACGGGTGCATGTAAATCCACCGCACATGATTTAATGGATGAATTGTGGTGATTACAATTTGCAATTATGAGGAATAAACAATTTAATTTGTGTTGGTTGAAGAGATGAGTGGAAATGTGAATGACAATAAGAGTTAACGGTAAAAGACATGGAGTCAACTCGAGGAAATGAAACCATTTGAGTAAACAGTTTCCTCGGTGAAAGGAGGAGTCGGAAAGGTGGAAAAAGACAGAGGATGAAGAAAGAGAAATTAATTTCAGGTAAATGATGAGGGATGATAACAGAAGGAGCGATCATGTTGGAAGATAATTGCCTCAACACTAATTACCGTATCCGCGCGCACAGTGGCCCCCGGCAAGAAAATGAGCCAACTCAATTACAAGCACTTTTTTCGTTCATTTTAAAGTCCACAGCTCTTATAACCGATCAGTCAACTACTTTTTACAATTCGATTAGAAGAGAATCACCTGGGAAACTCAGTGTAATCAACAATTGATCAATCAATTAATCGAAAAAGAGAAAAAAAATTAATCAGTTTATTTTTTTTGAGAAATAAATCGGGTTGAGTTTGACCACAAATGGTGATAATCGATGAAAAAGGGCTGTGAGGGTCTAACACAGTCAAACTAACGATTATTTAATTTTTTTGTTTAATTTTTGAATTGTCCGGTTAGATGTCATTGGCTATTAATTATTAGTCTCTGTTGTTTACATTCAATTGTTTCCGCCCCGGGCCTTTAAACTGGTCGAAAAAACATTTTTCTGAATTAATTTTTCTGAGATTTGACGCAAGCGTATTTTATTGAAAGACGCTTGTAACTGTCGCGATTCATTTATTGGCCGGGAGCCACTGTGCGCGCGGATACGGTAATTGATTTCACTTCTTCTTTTCACTCGTAATAAACAAAGGTTACTAATCAATGTTTACTATTTGGTTTCTTTTCATCACCAACGAATAGCATCATAATTAAGAAACAATTATTAATACTATTGATTGGTAATTGATAATATTTCTGTTCTTTTCTATATTTTCTAGTTTTTTTCAGTTCGAATTTCGAGTTTCATGTAAAAAGTTTTCGAAATAGTGCCAAGAAAAAGCTCATAAAGCTAATGTAATGTTATTTTATTTTTCTCATTTTTACTCTACATTTGAATTGTTTTTTCCATAGTTGACAAGAATTAGCAACAATTAACTGAAACAATGTTAAAATTTAATCTCCTAGATTAGGTGTATAATACTAACGAGCGATCAGTATGAAAGAAGTTAATTGTTGGACTTTAAGTTTCTCAATTGATTTGAAAGTTTCTTCGTCAAGTTCAAGATCAATTCTTTTGATTCGGTGAATTGGTTTGTTCTAATACATTTTATAATTTTCTTGGAGATATTCATTGATTAATCTCTACGAATTTCTTTGAGATGTTCAATCTGGTCATTCGTGATGGAATCGTAGGTTGGTAGGTATTTTAATAAACGATTAAGCGATTCCTGTCTTGTACTAACAGCAATCAATTGGATTGATTGTAGATCGTAAGTTCAATATACGTGCGTGTCCTTTATTGGAAGTCATTGTCGTCACAGAATTGATTATGATAAACGATTCATTGTGCAGGTAGATGAGAATGAGTTTTCGTTGTTTTGTGGTGAACAATTTCTGCTTCAGACTCGGATGAGGAGTTTTCGCTTTGAACACAATTTGAATCTACTTTTTACTGTTACGTGAGAAAATGAATAAGAAAAAATGATGAATGAAATTTTGAATATTTTTGAGAAAATCTGTGAAATTTTCACTTTGAAAGTAAAGATGAGGGTCGAAAAACAGAAATGATGAAGAATGAAAAGTGAGAATAGGATGTTGACAGAGTGTCGAGTTTCATGAACGAGGCCTTCGCCATCAGAATAATGTCAAGAAAAAGCTTTCAGAGGTAATGTAATGTTTTTTTTGACTCCTTTTGAGTCATATGTTTATTTGATTTGTTTTAATTTTTATTTTTACTTTTTACTTTTTATTTCATTTGAATAATTTGTATTGTAGCTTACTAAACGTAATCAAGTTCAAAAGCATGAGACTGATAAATACAATTCACAATTGATGAAGATTGAAGCTGCTGCTCTGAGTGCGTTTAGTAAAGACATAGCAGCTGATACAAGTAAAGTACAAGAATTAGCAACAACTAAATCAATGATCTCTACAATTAAAATGCCGAAAGATGAGGCAAGTACATCGTTAGCAGGAAATAGATTCGGTGGTGGTGGTGTTTCCATTTATGGAGATTGTATGGAGGAAAATAAAATTCTGGTTTCGGGTCGAGAAAAAGCTTTAGATACAATTACGAGTAAAATGAGCAAAAAATATCAATGGTTAGAATCTAAAACATCAGAGGGAAAAGCTTATTATTGGAATAGAAAAACTTTGGGTAAGTTTAAACTCTCAACATTTAGATACAAGTATTAATATTAATAATTAATAATCAATAATTAGTTGTTAATAGTTAATTGATTGCTCTCTCTCTCTCTCTCTCTGAGTCTCTCTTTCGGTCTCTTGTTGTTTCTGTTTTCTTTTTCTTTTTCTTTCTCTCTTATCAAATATATAACTTGATGAATTTATTGTTTTCAGAAACCATTTGGGAACCGCCGAGCTCAGGATATTTGACAATTGATGAACAACAAAAGATGGGAATTAATCGAGATAATGTTCCGTTAATTGGTGCACTAGGATATAAATACGATCCTTATGGTCAATGGGAAAATATCGAAAATAAATCAACAGAAACATCTCCACCCAATTTTCAATCTCTTCGAGTTCTTTTGCTTGATCTGACTCCTGAAACTGATGATACGGAAGTGGAAATAGTGGTTGTTGCAAGGAAGTCAAATTCACCTTGCTGTTGATGACCAGAACCAAATGATCCTAGTCTGGGTCGCTTGGAAATATGAACTTGAGATTGGGCTGTTAGCTGTAATTGAATAGCTGAAGTGTTCAACTTATCAGCTAATAATAAATCTTTCAATCCAATCATCTTCTGACTTTGGAGGTAAACAACAGCTTCACTATTTGTCTCTTGTCGTTGATCATCACGTTTAGGATCTGAATCGTCAGGACTATCGATCGTAGTTCCACTCTTGGAATGTTCAATTGATGTTGATTTCCTACCATTTTCAGATGATCCGATTGATTGATCACTTGACGAGTGAGCAACATTTGTCCGATCTAAACTTGGTTGACAAGAAATATTTAAAGCATTTTCGAATTAAGTGTTGAGTCTGAACAGGTAGAGGCCATTCCGACTATTCGAGGGTCAAGCTCGTCTTTGTCGTATGTACCTGATTTAAGGTCATGTTCGATCCTTTCTCCATCTTCCTTAAGACCATCTTCGATAGACTTGATAATTTCATCAGGAGTTCTTATCGGTGATGATGGAGATTTGGATGGCTCTTTCTCTTTATTATTTTTACCTGAAGTTTTGGGACTGTTTCCTTTTCTACTACCATCCAAAGTATTTTGATCAGAGTAATTTGATTGGCTTTCTTCATTCATTTGGTAGCCATGATAACCATGATTACTTTTAATGTGAAGACGATGGTGACCATCATTATCTTTAATTCTTATCTGTGCCTTATTACGAACATGAGATGTGAACTTAGATATTGTGGCAACGAACGGTTTAGCCCAACCAATATGTAAAACGGGGGTTGGTGATTCCTCTTCCCAACCACAAAGTCCATCGTAAAAGGCCAAAAGTGATGCAAAACATTCAGGATCTTGAAGAAGTGGAATTTCTGAAACCCTACTAGGTTCACATCCACCCGCAGAAACAACTTTAACCATGTGAGGAATTAGATCATTCGCTATTTCAAGAAATTCTTTGTAAATTTCTTCATCATCACGAGTATAATTGTAACGACGAATAACCGATGCAGCGTCAGCCCAGGATTGAAGAGCTTCTTTAAATCTTCCATTACGAAAATAATATCCTGCCATAAAACAATAGGGATAAACATGATGATTCTCATAAAATTTTTTGTTCACTTCGATTGCTTCTTGAAACAATCTACCAGCGTCTCTAATTGCTTCAGTTGTCGCACCAACTTCCTCAAGATCACCGAGACTATCAATACCCATTGGATACTTGGATAAATAGCCCTTATCATAGAGATACCATAAAACTTTCTGTTGAATAGCTGCTAATTGACAAGATTCAGCTGATGGGTAATAGAAGGTTCATGCATGAAACCAGTGCAGCATAAACCATAGGCGGGGAACATACAACCGGATAACCGTTCAAGTACAACCAGCAATTCGCAGTAACAACGGGTTGTCCTCTTCTGTCCTCACTCCCTTTTCCTCTCCATGATATCTGAAAATACAAAAAGATAAGAACAATTAAAGATTCCAAATAAAATTTGTCAACTAATATTCTGAATCAAATGAGAACCGAAATAAAACCAACCTCTGCAGTCTGTTCGTTTCCAGGTTCGCCGAAAATAACCCAAGCGTGATCTTCACTCAAGGCCAAACGGGCATCATTAAGCTCTAATACTTGACATGCAGCAGCGACTGCATAAGATACACCGAAGCGATCGAGTTTATCTTCGGTGATATAAGAATAAAGTGTTTGTAGATGAGGTTTATTTGTATAATAACCTCGAGATAAATCGGACCAAATGGAATCAACCACTTTCTTAATAACGTCACGAGTAGTTTTCTTTGGATGATGATCGACTGCACCTAAGCAAATGAAATCAAATTAATCAACATAAAATTAGATTGCATCAAATAGAAATAGAAATAAATTTCTAATAAGATATTCTAAATGCAATTAAGCCGCTAAACTGAAATCATACCAACAGAAATTATGTCGATTTTAAGTTGACTTTACCTGAAGTCAAACTCGAAAGCTAATTAACTCTCGTCAAATTTAAACTTCAGAATAATATGAACTTTACCCATTGAAAACTAATTTAATTTTAATTCAATTTTAAATTGGTTTCGACTAATTTTTAATCGAAAATAGTTTTTCGTCCATTTTTTAAATTTCATCTTCGAAAGACCTTTTCGAATTATCAAAAATCCTAAAACGTTGAACAAGTTGGAATTGTGCTCAAATGTATTAATATTAATAAGACTGATTCACACTAATTGAAAATTACAGGACAATTAACCTCAAATTATTATTAAATCAAATGGTTTAAAATTGAAATAACATAAGACTAGAATTTACAGAAACTTTCAATTGATTTAAAATTTGAAAATTAAAAGTTTTATTAAATTAAATGACGAAATTGAAAATGTTCATCAAATAAGAGATCATTTTCTATACCTAAATAATATAAAACTTTTGAGGATATTAATTAGATACACTAGATTAATTAAACATGTAAATTGATATGGAAGAGAATTAATAATAAAAGCTAATTGAAAATATCAATAAAATTCTCAATGATCGTCATTGTAATTTCATTTATTGTTTTCAATGATTAATTGAATCGAGTCAAGTTAATTTATCTGAAAAAATAATTTAAATTGCAGATTAGTTAAGGAAAATATAAATGATCTCGTCAAAGAAAAAATTATTCTGGTCACTCTTGGTCATCTGATGTGGATTCTATAAAGTTAGACTGTTGTTTTAACTCTTTCATTCAAAATAATAACCTTGAAACAAGTTTATAATAATAATGGTGTTCATGTCCATTGTTACCTGAGTTTGAAATGAGGGAGAAAGAGATAAATGGAAAAGAAATGGAAAGAGAGAGTGAGAGTGAGAGTGAGAGAGAAAAAAAACAAAGAACTTAACTCTTTGAGTGAAAAAAGAAATGATAACGAGCGATATCAAAATATCAGGTAAAAAAGAAAAAGCTAAATATTAACAAAGGTAAACTGAAATGGGTTAGAAAGAGTTGGAAGAAAGTAAAGCGAAAGAAATGAAAACTGGTTAAGAAAGAGAGGGAAGAAAAGAAAGCAAAGTTTTGCTTCTTCATGTTGGCGGTTAATCTTTCGATAGTCGGCCTTTTAAAAAGCATGGTGAGAACAATGGAAGTTTACTACAGGTAAATGGAATAGAATTTTCTTTTCAATTAAATTGTTCTCTCTTGTAAATTAAAGCGAGTGAAAGTTAAGAGTAATTAGGGTGATAATTATTGGACAATTTACCTTTGATTTGGGTGACAAATTTTTTGTACAAAGGTTCAATATGTTCCCATTTGACCCAAGGTATTTCAAAATGATCTTTAGCCTGAGAAGGTGAATCATCGGAAAGTAAAGGTGATGCTGATCTGTCTTTTCCATTTGTATCACATGAAGATGCATCACCACTTCCACTACGATTTCCATGAGATGAACAATGACCATTGTAATTAGTTGTATAGGTAGACGAAGTTGTAGATATACGAGGTTGTGCACAAGTTAATGTGTGCTCAAGGTATCCCATAAGAATAGAGAGAAAAGTTAAATCAGTTTGATTTGATTCAATACATCGTTTAACCAAATCGACGACATTTCCAACAGTTTTCAATGGAAAATAACTACGTAGACTGGTGAATTGTCTATGACGACTTGACATGTTTACAGTTTAAGAGTTGCAATTCTTGTTTAAACTCCCGTTATATCATCAATTTAAATTAATATAATTCTTAGGATTGTCTGGATGACAAGAGATGAAGAATTAAGTCGAGATGAAGATGAGAAAAAAAGAGTTAAAATAAAAACAAAACAAGAAAGAAAAAAACAAAACACTATTATCACATCACGATGATAATACAAAGTAAAAAAAAAGGGATTAGATTAAAGGGTTAAAACAGTCAACATAAGCATGATTCTTAAATGGTTGTAAAGTATTTAAAAGGTTAAAAGGATAAACAATAAGATGATTTTGATTAATTATCCAAATGAGTTTAATTAAAAGACAAAGGGAAGTTTAAATTGAAATGACAATTATGATGAAAGTAATTGATGTAAACATTGAACAAGAAGGTAAGAGTTAAGGAAAAACTTTCATTGGTCTAGAGATGAATGAAGCAACAGCCAACGGCCAATCAGAAGAGAGAAAAAGATTACCCGCGATTTTTGAAGTTACGATTTCCAAGTTTAATTTTATCATTTTTCCAATTTTTAGTCACTGATTTTATTAATACTCGATTGTTCTGAAAGGTTGAGATCGTTTCCGTACAGTTTATCATGTTTGGAAGGGTGAAATTAACTTTTTCCATTCTTTTCTATCAATCATATTATATAACAATTCTAATGAATCCAAAGTTTCTCTTTGCAAAGTTAATTGTAATTCTATTGATATTAATTTAAGATAATTGTATTCAATTGATTATTTATGTTATTTACTGTTAATTACTGTTGATTTTAAGATCTTTAAAGTTTGTTATTCAATGATATTTAACTATCATTGAGATGATTAACTTTTTTTGCTCAGGTAAGTTTTGTTTTCTTTTCTAATTCCAATAGTTTGGCAACTAATCAATACTCTAATCGAGATTATCATAAACTCATCATTATCCTTGGATATTAAATTTGATTTATTTAACTAGCATTTTAAGTCGTAAATAGATTATATAAAAAAATCTGAAAGTGTACAATTGTGTCAATTGTTGAGAATAACAATTGTCTCTTTGTTTCCATTTCTTAATTTAGTTCGTATTTTTATATTCTTGATTTTTCAACTAAAGTTTATATAAATCAACCAACCAGTTGATCCAAAGCAAATATGAAAACACTAAATTTATTTCCAATGGAAATAAATCACAACGGAACAATTAATAAAACTTATCAAATGTTGATTCGTTTTCGTATTTCTGTAAATTGTTTTATCAGATGAAAAACTTTATTTATCATAATAAATAACGAACAAGATAATAATTTGATTCTCAGCTTTAAATTATCGAACAAAAAAAGAGAAACAATCATTTTCTAATTTGGTGTTCTCTTGCTAGTTCCTGTCAAAAGTTTAAGCTCTCTCAATCTCGAGTGAATCTCTATTTCAGTTTTCAAGAAAAGTTCAGTGAGTATTATTAGTGCGCTCAGAAATCACCGACGTTGCGATGATGCGTTCGTACTTAGAAAACCGGTAGATGGCGATAGTGTCGATCCTCATAAACAACAACAAAAATTTTCTCATTGTGAGTGAAAAATTTTCACTGAAAATTAATTGAGTTTAAGTTAAGTTAAATAGACTTTTGATTGTGAGCAAATTCTAATTTTATTCTAAATTATTACCATGTAAGTAGACGATGAAACAATTGACAATATTTTCTTTTTCATAATTACAAATGAACATCTTGTTTTTCTCTAGGACCGAATATTGGAAAGCTATTCCAAAGAAATACTGTGACGCCTGTAAATGTTGGTTTACTGATAATAAGAGTGTAAGTTTATTTTCATTTGTTTCTATTTTCTTTTCTATTTTGTCTAAATTGAAAATTTTATTCTAATTTGGATAATCGGTTCTTCTTTTATGACAGAGTGTCGAGTTCCATGAACGAGGCCTTCGCCATCAGAATAATGTCAAGAAAAAGCTTTCAGAGGTAATGTAATGTTTTTTTTTTGACTCCTTTTGAGTCATATGTTTATTTGATTTGTTTTAATTTTTATTTTTACTTTTTACTTTTTATTTCATTTGAATAATTTGTATTGTAGCTTACTAAACGTAATCAAGTTCAAAAGCATGAGACTGATAAATACAATTCACAATTGATGAAGATTGAAGCTGCTGCTCTGAGTGCGTTTAGTAAAGACATAGCAGCTGATCCAAGTAAAGTACAAGAATTAGCAACAACTAAATCAATGATCTCTACAATTAAAATGCCGAAAGATGAGGCAAGTACATCGTTAGCAGGAAATAGATTCGGTGGTGGTGGTGTTTCCATTTATGGAGATTGTATGGAGGAAAATAAAATTCTGGTTTCGGGTCGAGAAAAAGCTTTAGATACAATTACGAGTAAAATGAGCAAAAAATATCAATGGTTAGAATCTAAAACATCAGAGGGAAAAGCTTATTATTGGAATAGAAAAACTTTGGGTAAGTTTAAACTCTCAACATTTAGATACAAGTATTAATATTAATAATTAATAATTAATAATTAATAATCAATAATTAGTTGTTAATAGTTAATTGATTGCTCTCTGAGTCTCTCTCGGTCTCTTATTGTTTCTGTTACTGTAACTTGTTCTGTAACTTGATGAATTTATTGTTTTCAGAAACCATTTGGGAACCGCCGAGCTCAGGATATTTGACAATTGATGAACAACAAAAGATGGGAATTAATCGAGATAATGTTCCGTTAATTGGTGCACCAGGATATAAATACGATCCTTATGGCCAATGGAAAATATCGGCGATAAATCAACAGAAACATCTTCACCTGACTTTCAACTACCTCAAAGTGCTAATTCCACAATAGATGAATCAAAGGTACTCGAGATTCATTTGCATAACGATGAAGAGCAATTTGATTTCAAAGAGAAAACAATCGAAACAAAGACTAAATCTTCTGGTCCTGTTGGTTTTTCATTCAAAAAAAGGAAAATCATCGATAAAATGTCTCGAAATGTCAAAAAACGAGAAGATGATAATTGATTATATTCTTAACCTTATATAATTTTAATTAAATGTAAATTGTAAAGAAAACGAGATCAATGAAAATATATTTTCTACAATGTGATGATTATATACAATGATTCCTCTCAAAATGACCCATCGTTATGGTAACATTAAATTTGGAAGATTTTTAACTTTTAATTAGGATTAAATCTCATCAATTTGATCTAAAAAAATGAAAATTAATAATTTCACTTCAAGTTCAGATTGTTTTGAGGACTATAATTCATAATTATTTGTGTTTAGTATTTTTAATCAAAATAATTGATTAATTTCAACCCTTTTTAATGACCCGCTCTACAAATCGTTGTCACCATGATGGGTCATTTTAAAAGGCATCACTTTACTGATTAAATTCATTGATTAAATTAAATCAATTTGTTAAATTGTTGATGAAAAAAAAACAAAATATGAAGACAGAGACAATTAATCAAACTACAATGTATTTCCAACAATTATTTCAATTTACTCATAAAAAAAGTGAATTCGAGAAAAATTTGTATTGATAATAATATAAGGAAATTTATTGATCGATTTACATTTAGAGAATTTTAATTTGACAAAAATAAGTTGATCATTTTCGTTTAAAATAATCATGATGATTATTAGAAACTCAATCAAATCAAATTACATATTATAATATCTAAGTAAATTTCGTAACCTCGATGAAAGTTTCCGAAGTGCATGAGTTAAATCATCCGATGGATTAATACTTCGTCCAAACCTGTTGATTATAATCAAAGAATAAATTTAGTAATTAGATTAAAGTGACAAAATTAGTTCTAATCAATGAATGACCAAGTCAATGGAAATTGAATCAAGTAATTTTCTACAATTAGTTAATAATTATTATTATAATTTTTTTCGCGAATTGATGTTGAACTTTTATCTATTAAAATATTAACGAGAAACAATCTGATTAAGCAATTAAACCAAATCTTGAAGCTTTTCACTCGCTTGATTGAAACGGAACTATGGCCTTGGCATTAGCCGTTATTCTAGTTTGTACTTAATAGTATAAGAATTATCTGGAAGAGTACGAAAAGTTATTGAAACAAATAAATTTCGCGTTAGAAAATTGTACCAATGTCGATCTGAAGCTTCGAACGTGTCGAGCTACTCATTAGATCACAAGGGAATTATTATCGACGGATTTAGTTGTTTTGTCCCTACGAAATTACGAAGTCCAATTGTCCATTCTTAGAATTTACTTGTATTTTTCTCGTAAGAACTAATCAATTGCTCTCTAGTTAATTACTCACCTTATCCTATGGTTAATTGCGATGAAACGATCAAGACCAACGAGAATATCTTCAATTTGAGAAATTTGTTTCGCACTGAATTGTCGATTTGTTGATTATCACCAAGTGATGAACTTTAATTAACTCATTAGAATTAATTAGATTGTTATTGACACTCTGAAAATCCCCTGAAATCACCATTGTAACAACAATAGTAAACACAATTAAATGAGTTTGAATCATGATGATAATTAACAAGATGGATAACGTTATAGATTAATTATACTTATTCACTTCCAACCAATTTGTATTGTAATTGAAAATTAAGCAACAATCTAATGTATTCTCATGATTAACAGTGAATATAAATTTTGAGAAGTGATTCAAATGATACAATTTAACTAACTAACTTGTTGGTCAAATTTCAGTTGAGTTTTATTCCAATTTTTTTTATTCCACAGACAATTTATATAATTCCGACACAAGTCACATGAAATCAGATCTCCAATCATGATAATGTTAATCATCTTCATAATATCTGATTAATCATAATCTCACACATTTCAAGGTTTCTCACCATGTAATCAACTCAATCTTATTGTTATCGTTTAAATGTTTACATAGATGAAATTATGAGATAAATTTTCGTTATTTAATTTTAATCGTCAATTGATCTCGATAATTTTGAACAAAAACTAATTGTCAGTTTGATAAGGGTCATTTATGGTTGATTAAGTGGTTATTTAATCAATTTTCAAGGGAATCTCATGTTTTTGAAGTGATTTAAATGAGTTATTTATTATGAAAAGTTAATTTCATGGTCCAATTGATTTGCCATTTAAAAATTGATAAATTGTAATTGTATGGTAAAAACAACGAGAAGATCATTACTTTTTGATAATCATTAATCAAATTTAAATCATGATCAAAATGAGATCAACAACAATGTATTTTTGATAAAAAAATAAAATAATTTCAACAATTAAAACAATAAAAAAACTGGATAAACAAATTAACAATGTAAAAATGTAAGGTCAATTTGTAGGCTGATTTGTATCTAGAAAATTGATTGTTGATTTTGTTGGTAACAATTAGGTTGATTGTTTTATGAAAATTGATCTTAGTGTTGTCTTTTCAATATTGATTAAAAAGTGACAACAATCACCTCGAAATTTTTAACTGTCACTTTAAGTTTGTGTTTTGAATTGTTAACATCAACAAGTGGATTTAAATTTTCCTTTGATAAATTTACACGACTAATTGAAACTTTGATCGTTAATTTGGTCGGAAAATGGCCCCTAAACGTAAGTCACGAGCAAGTCGATCTCGAAGTCGAGCTTCATCTATGGACTCTAGTGAAGCTCCTCCAAGTAAAGCCATGAAATCATCGGTTCGAGGAAAATCAAAGAAACGATCTAAATCACGAGCAAGTTCAATCGATGGCAAAGATTCCGGAATGGGTTCCGATTCAAATTTAAGCTCATCAAGTGTCTCCAAATCAAGTGATTCCCAAATGGATTCTAAACCTTCAAAAGCAATGGGACGTAAAAAGTAAATCAATGGGCCTAAGAAAAGCAAAGGTGCAGGTAAAAGTAAAGGAAAGGAAAATCGAAAGGACGAAAGACAAAAGGTCGAAAAGGTAAAAATGATCTCATTTCAAAATGAACACACAAACAACAACAACAACAACAACAAACAAGAGAAACACAAACAACAGGAACCAATAGAAAACAAAAACAAGATCAACAGGATAACAATAATAACATGGAAATTTAGAGAAACCAGTTAATCAATTCCAATTTTTCGAGTCTCACAATAAATGTAAACCCTTTTGAATAAATTTGAGTATAAAAAGAAACAACAACAGTAAAAAATCAATAATTTATTTTTTTTTCTACGTGAACATTAAATGAAAAAATCTCCGAGAGAAAAATGAACAATTTGTTTGTTTACATTTTCCAAGGAAATTTTTCGAAAAATTCGACCAACAGATGTCGCTTTATATTCTTTTTTCAGTGAATTTTTTTTTCTCTTTCTCTCATTTTGCTTCGACATATAGATAACTATATGTTATTAGTTGTCTTTCTTTCTCTTTCTCTCTTTTGTCTCTTTTTTAATTTTTGTGTTTTTACTCGTCGTTCTAATTGGTTTATCTAATCGATTGTTAACCAAATTAGATTTCAACTGTAACCACCTTTCAACATATTGACCAGGTAAAGTAGTGATTCCCTTTAATTCTTGGTCAAAATGGCGGATTTGGAAGCTGTTTTGGCTGATGTTAGTTATCTGATGGCGATGGAAAAATCAAAGTCAACTCCAGCCGCACGAGCCTCCAAGAAGATTGTTTTACCCGATCCCAGTGTTCGAAGTGTGATGCATAAATACCTGGATAAAATGGATGAAATCTCCTTCGACAAGATATTCAACCAGAAATTAGGTTTTTTGTTATTTAAAGATTTTTGTGAAAATGTATGTGACGTTGCGGTACCACAGTTAAAATTTTATGAAGAGGTAAACACAGTCATTTTTTTCTCTCTTTCCCTCTTTCCTCTTTCTTTTTCCTCTTTCTTTATTTTTAGTCGCCTTTTTCTTTTCTCTTCTCTCTCTCTCTCTCTCTCTGTTTATTTTCACCTTTCTTTCATTCCATTCCTTCCTTTCTCTCTCTTTCTCTTGTCCAACGATTTTCTCTCCAGTCACAATTTTTCTATTAATTGTACCAACCTTGATCACGAATCAAAACGACTTTTATTATCACCTTATTTACTTCATCTTTCAAATATCAATTTCATCTTTCTATTACATTTTCTCACTGTTTTTCTTTTCTTTCCTCCTCCTCCTTTTTCTTCTCTCTCTCTCTCTCTTTTACTCTCATATTTTTTCTACTTTCAAACCATTTATCGTCGTTGGATTTCTTTTATATTGGAATTAATGCTATTTGATTGAAAATTGTTCATCATTATACATCCGTACGATCAATATATATTAATCAACACTAACATGTGATTGTCACCATTAATAACAATGGACGATGGTTGACTTAATGTCCTTTTGATGATCTTCATCATCAACGTCAAAATGGATACGATGATTGCTGAAATTTTCCTTAATCCGCATTTACAATTAAATGGCTCGAAATTTCATGTGACTATTTATGGTTGATTGTTATCCATGTGTGCGCTCTATTCTAAAATCACCAACCACCACCATCATCATCATCATCGTCATTCGTAATAATTATTACCCTAATTATCATCTCTCTCTCCCTCTCACTGTCTCCCTGTGCTCATGGCTATGTTTTTGTGCATTATTCTTTTAACGAATCGAAATCAAAATGAAATCTGAACAAAAAAAAAGATTAAGAGCTACGAAGAACTGGAAACAGTAGAGGAAAGGCGGAAAGCCGCCCGAGGAATCTATGACAATTTCATTATGAAAGAACTGTTATCACATTCACATAATTATCCTAAAGAAGCGGTTAATCATGTACAAAAGTCTCATGAGAAATGAGGTTCCTGTGACTTTATTTCAACCTTACATTGAAGAGATTTTAGCCAATTAAGAGATGATATTTTAGGAAATTTATTGAAAGGTATGTTTATAACCATTTATTTTCATCTTCTTTTCTCACCCCCTTTACTCTATTTGACTTTACTCTTTATTCTCACTCACTTACTCACTTACTCTCTTTACTATCTTATCGTTCACCATTTGAATTATGTTTTAAACAATTTACTGTTAACAACCTTTGACGTTTTCTATTTTATTATTATTATTTTTCTTTAGAATCATTTCTCTCTTTTGTTACCCTTTAAGTTTTTTTGCTTCCATC